CAAGTCCCTCAAGAGGCGCACAAATTACTCACTGCAGGAGCGGGTACAGACTTGGTTGATCGCTCTGGCTGTTGTTACTGGCCTTTTGGGAGCAAAAATTAGTGGCACTATTGCGCTACACAATATCTTTAATATGGAAGAGAACAGCTTTCCTTGAGAAGGAAAGCTAAGAGCTTTACGGGTTATTGAAGTTCCTTCGCGTCAACTCCTAGTTCTTCCCCAAGGACCGGTGTTCGTTTAAGAATAGTCTTCGTTTTACGAATAAAACATATCCTTGTAGTTAGTGATCTGTTGGTGCATAACAGCATTGCTGTTAGAGATATGATGTAAGCCTGGAATGTGTGTAAAAGTCTTCAGCCCTAAATGATGTTAAGTCAAGTTAAATTTAGATATATTTATGCAATTCTTGTTCACTGGTTTTGACAATAAGGTTCTACGTAGATTAAATGCCACCAATACTCAAGAAAGGTAAAGATTGCTCCTATAAAACTCGACTTCCCTTATAAAGACTACTAGTGCAGGCATCCAAGGGAGTAGGTCACATTTTGAACTACTGAGTAGCTATTTTTCACACGTACGATCCTATATACGCGAGTAAATTCGAGGAGGTGTTTCTGTAGGCGAGAGGTGCAGAGAGGTCATAAGTCACAGACTGACCTCCCAGGAACACACAGGTCACGAGCTGAGCTCTGAGATGCACGTCCCACTGTGATTGAAGGATTTTACATTTTTAACATGAACAACCAAAACCTGAGGAATCACTGTAACTGTTCTCCCAATGTTGTTTAAAGTGCTCACAAGCGGGGACAAACAGGAGAATGAGACAGGAGCGAACAAAGGACCAACTAGCACAAGTCGGCCAATCAGAGACGCGTTCCTCTCGGTCAATTTGTTGGTGAACCCGGACGCTAGTGAACCCGGACGCTAGTGAACCCGGGCGCTAGTGAACCCGGGCGCTAGTGAACCCGGGCGCTAGTGAACCCGGACGCTAGTGAACCCGGGCGCTAGTGAACCCGGACGCTGCACGATGCCATCCTTCTTCAAATTCAGGCCGGGTTTGACGCCAGGCAGGGGTCGACTGCTACCATAAACACACAACTAATTCAAACATCATATTTATGATTCGTGTTTCGTGTATGGGCGAGGCGGCAGTGTTGCAGGGGGGTGTGCTAGTGTTGCTACACTCCCTCATCCCAACCCCCAAATCCTGGACGTCTTCCCCCCATGAGGCTTGTCAGCTCATCTTTGGCCTATCCCAGCTTTTCTTGTTTCTCAATGTTGTCTCGGAATCTGAGTGATCTAATCCTCTTTGTTTATTTATTGCGTCCATAATATCCAATATATCGAGAATCGGCGTAGAATAACAATAAGTAATGTCCTATATTATATAGTCTTTGTGGTAAATGTCGGTAAATCTGGCTAGTTTGCTGACCGACTGTCGGAATACTGCCTCGACACTGGGTGACAACTGTTGGTGCATTTTCCCTTTATGGACCTTTAGTTTTCATGTGCTAAATGATGTAACTTGAACGTAACTCTCGTCTTCCAAGCACATGACAATACCTCATTATTCCTTGCACCTTGTATTTACTACTAGTTACAACCATAACGGCAAATTTAAACCTTAGAATAATTTTCTATAAAAACGTCGCCACCAGCATGACATCAGTAATTTTATTATAATAATGCAAAGACAATTTATTATAGTTATACCTTTGAAATCATTATTTTTTTATGAAAGTCATAATTTCTTTCATGGAATCTATAGTTGAATCTCTGCCTCTTATTGGCCAAAATTTAAAAAGTCGCTGTTGACGTCATTGCTAAAGCTCGGCGATTGGCTGCACAGGATGACGTCACCAGTGACGTAGCAAGCAGTGGCGGTTGAAGGTCACTCAGGTGCCGACGCTGGCATGGCTCCCTAGCTGACCTTTCAGGTGACACGTTCTTCTCACCTTCCCTGTGTAACGGTTTCTTCCATGCGACGCCTTCGTTCCTCACGAGAATTCATTTGTATCTTGAGGACACAATAATAAAAATGTTAATTGTCTCCCGCTTCGTCTAATTATCCTTTGTTAATTAGCTCTCAATGTCTGTAGTTTGAACTGTGTGAAAGAACGAACCCAACCTCTTGGACTATCGGGGATTGTACGCCGACCCTGCAAGGTGCAAAGTTCCCTGGAAACACAAACCGAAACTGTCTCTATTTTCCGCTTGTTACAACTTGTAATAAAGTTGTCACATCTTGGCTTAACGTGTTTATGACGTATTAGAACGTTGTTACAACTTGCTATATTGGTTGTTATAACTGGTTAGGAGGTGTTAAAACTTGTTCGAACGTTGTACCAACGTCGTAGTTTCGGTGTGTGTTTGGCGGGTTGTTGCCCATGCAGTTCGAACCATATAGATGGAACAGGAGAGAAGATAGAGAGTGATGGATAAGAAAGGCTGAAAAAGACACGAACAATTACTATTTATTACTATTTATTTATAAAAAAAAATACATTCTATTATTTTTCTTTTGAAGCTACAGTGTTGGGGATCAATTGTACAAGAATATCCCATATATTACTTTGTGATCGGTCTCTCTTACAGTGTTTATATAATGCTAGGGCCGTCCTGACACCATATACATTACCCTGAGAACCTATACCCTTCTCCTCAAACTCTCGTGTTTGGACAAATAGGAGCTGCTTCGTATGGGTCAATAGGAGCTGCCTCGTATGGTCCCAATAGCTGCCTCGTATGGGTCAATAGGAGCTGCTTCGTATGGGTCAATAGGAGCTGCCTCGTATGGTCCCAATAGCTGCCTCGTATGGGTCAATAGGAGCTGCTTCGTATGGGTCAATAGGAGCTGCCTCGTATGGTCCCAATAGCTGCCTCGTATGGGTCAATAGGAGCTGCCTCGTATGGGTCAATAGGAGCTGCCTCGTATGGGTCAATAGGAGCTGCCTCGTATGGGTCAATAGGAGCTGCCTCGTATATGGTCCAATAGCTGCCTCGTATGGTCCAATAGCTGCCTCGTATGGGTCAATAGGAGCTGCCTCGAAATGCCTCGAAAGAGACAAAACAACTCGCTACGCAACGAGACCAACGTGATCACGCTACGCTCCTCACTCTAAGCTGTATATCAGCCCTTATACTATCGCCAGATGATGTAGACCGCCACCCACAGGCAGCTAAGTACATGGAGTCCTAGCATGTTATAGCAAAACCAAAGTAACCGACCAAAATCAACTCATTCCATCTCAATTAAGTTTCAAAACATTCCTCTACGGCTGTGAGTACCAGTGCATGCTGCCGCCACCGCGCTGCCTGACGCAAGTTTCTTCACAATACCCCCAGTCCATTCTAACCAATCATGTCTCCTAAACATGGGGCTGTGCAGAGAAAGAAGGACAACAAACCCCTTAACAAGGCAACCATCCCGGCCAACTCAAACAATATTCGTGTTTCTCCGTCTGGAAGCTCTGGGGTCCAGGGCAGCGGTGCTGCCCTCCCCTCCACCCCTTTGAGCAAGGGAGCAGAGTACTCTCAACCCTCTCCTATGGACATGCTAGCATCCCACTATAAGCAACTCAAGCGAGCTTCCGGTCCCTCACCGGAATTCTATAACTGGGCCGAGAATCAGTGGTTCAAAAAGTTGTGCCAAGTCCTCGAGTCTCAAAATGCTATCATCTTGAGTCTTCTAAATGAGAATCTAGCGATCCGCGCTAATCTCCAACAACAACAACAAGAAATAACCCTCCTCCGCGAGGATATTAGAAACTGCAAGGCTAGCCAAGACCAACTACAGCATGATTTGAATGACCTCCGTGAGGAAAGCAACCTTCTGAAAACTGATGAAGCCATTAAAAAACAGGAGGAGGAAGCTCTCAGCAAAATGACTGCATGTATCAGTACATTTTCAGCCCAGCGTTCTGTCTCCCAGGATGAACAAGACCAGCAAAAGCTGCTAGACTCTGTTATAGTGTCGTCCCAAGATATACCTGTGGAACATGATGGTGAAAACTGTGTCGAAATAGCTCTGGATCTCGTAAAAGACAAATTGCAGCTCATTCTAAACAAATCAGACGTTATTGCTGCCTACAGAGTAGGCAAAAAGAATCCATCAGGTCAAAACCAACGGAAAATTCGCCTGAAGCTGTCCTCCCAGTTCATGAAATCCAATCTAGTCCGGACAGCTGTAGCCCAACGGACGGGATTATACATCAACGAGTGCTTGACTAGGAACAGACAGCACCTCCTCTACCGCCTGCGTCAAATCCGTCAACAAAACCCAGATGCGATTCATCAGTGCTTCGTTAGAGATGGACTGATAAAGGTGAGAAAAACCGCAGAGGGCAAAATGTTCACAATTACTAAAGAAGAGAACCTCAACACTTTCCTCTCCCAATGTGGTCTGTCTCAGCTCATTATCACTCCCAGTGAATTAACTTAATTAACCCCCTGTCAACTAGTGGGGCTAGGTTTCCTAAGTCTCATTGTTTCATTTTCTGACTTAATTTTTAACTTACTCTTAACTAGTCATTTACTGAAATTATTTAATTGAGTGCATAAATAGTTCTTCAGGTCTTATTAATTATACAGTCATAACTGAACTATTTATAGTTAATAATCATTAGCTTAAATTTGCCTATGCTTATTATTCAACTTTTCTTTGATTCCATTTATTACCTAGGTTGCCTAGCCTCGCCATGCTCCCTTACTCCATTGTACCCCTGGCTTTGCCTGCATCTCAAATTGCAAATTGTTACTTACAGTGTACCTGAGAGTACTTGTAAGCAATCTACCTCATTTTTCATTTTTGCTCAATTTGTTTTTGTATTGCTTAGTCTTGTTTATATTTTTGTTTTGTATATCTATATCTATGTAATACTGTTATCTAGTAATAGATAACGGCTACATAGCACAATTTCACTAAAAGTTATTGACTGACATTAAAATTTAACTTGAACTGACATTAAAAATATTAACTTTCTTTTAAATGAGAAACATTATTCACGATACTCAACTTTAATAAAGCTGTCAAAGAAAACAAATAATTACAAAGTTATTAATAAATCTATAATAACTATAAAAAATATAATAAAATAATTCTTAATAAAACCACGATCGAGGGATTCAGGGATTCCTAATATAGATAAATTTTACAAATATTAGTTTACAAATATTAGTAAACTATGCTGGACGTGACAAGAAGACAGTAGCATAATACAAGTTGAAGTATGTTTATTGAGATAAGAAAGAAATACATCTCAAAGGGATAGAGTAGCTTAGGCTATTTCTATCCCCCCCTCTACTTCAAGTCCCTCAAGGGGCTCACAAATTCAGTGAGTACAAATAGACAAATAACATTACAAGAATCCCATCTAACATTGCCAATATTAATACATAATACAGGAGTATCTTTGGCAAACAATATATACTCTACACTCTTCAGCGAATAGCTTGAGGTTCTCAGCAACGCTGCTAAACTCGAATGATGTTTTCCCAAATAAGGCACACTGAGGAATCTTCCAATAATGCTAGCATACTGTAAGGCATACTAAGAAAATCTTCCAATAAGGCAACTACCCTGGAAACACAAACCGAAACTGTCTCTATTTTCCGCTTGTTACAACTTGAAATAAAGTTGTTACATCTTGGCTTAACGTGTTTATGACGTATTAGAACGTTGTTACAACTTGCTATATTGGTTGTTATAACTGGTTAGGTGGTGTTAAAACTTGCTCGAACGTTGTACCAACGTCGTAGTTTCGCTGTGTGTTTGGCGTGTAAAGAGATCTTCCAACAAAGAACTCAAGCAAAGTAGTGGCCAGCTCCCAAGCCAGAAGTGGAGACTATTTTTGTTCAGTATCAGAAAAGCTTCCATCTAAAGTGTTAATTTTGTTGTCATTAAATTCTCTTCAATCAAAAATTCAGTTTATACTCCCATTGACTACAGCATTATTTCCTGTGCAGTTTGTAAATAAAAGCCTCGACTGTTTAATCATAATCAACAAAGCGCAAATTTGAAAATAAATCCTATTTAAACTAGCATTAATTTCGGCTATCACGGGCTCTGTATATATGGCGAGAGCTGTATCCCGCTTAAGGTTATACATAAAACGCCTCAGATAGACTTAAAGAAAGTCGACAGACTTTAAAGCCAACACTAAAGTAAGCCATTTTCAGACTTTGTTGACAGCTTCCTTCATAAATCAATATCCCTAAGAGTGGATTGGTGCTTCAAGAGCATTCTGGAGAGAAGTTTCTATTGGCTGAAAATCAGTCTTTGGCCTGATGACTGACTCGTGAACTTCCGAAGAGCGAAATGGTATTGGGTGTATCGTAGGTGATTCGTGTACCTCCAACGAATCAGAAGACGACGCATGTGTACTGGGTGTAACAGTTGATTGGTAATCTTCCGATGACTCACGAACACTTAATCTAGTCTTTGGCGCGACAGTTGATTGCCGAATCTCAGAGGAATCAGAGGCCATTACCTGGGTTGCCTCTTCGAAGTCAGAACGACCCATTCCCCCGACTCCTTCGTGGACTTCGGCAATGGTGACCTCCCGCCTGATGGAACGGCAGTGTGACAGATTATCGTTTTCCATCGCTCTGGAAACTATCTCTCCATTCATCTCACCGTCTTCCCTGTCTCGGCCATCTTGCTGTGCAAGCTGCGAAGGAAGATCCAAGTGATCTTCGTCTTCGAAACCAAGGTTGTGAACGCCGTCTGGATCGCTCTAGGGAGTACATAAAAGACTAGTGTTAAGAGAGAAAAAAGTACTTTCCCTATACAATCAAGCAGGGACTGCACAGAATCCCAGATCATGTTGGAACTGTGCCGGACCACTGATTATGCTGGGACTGTCCCAGCATGGAACGTCAAGCTCACCTCCTGTGCTAATCGAAGGGCGTCTTGATATGTTGGAAGTTTGTCAGCTACTTCCTCGTAAGTCGGTGGAGTGTCGTTCACAGGGCCCTAGCGAGAGAGAAGGGAGATTTAGATGGGTAAGGGAGCGAACGAGATATAAGGGAGAGAGATAGGTAGGCGAAACAGGGGTTATATACAATAGATATACCCCTGTTCCCTCTGCAATAGAGGGAAATGGTTGTGTGAGATATTATTTGGGGAGGAAGAATGTCGAGGTAGAACGAGGCGTGGAGGAAGAAGGAGATAGATGTGGCTCATAACGAAACATAGAAAAGGAGATATGGACAGGGATAGATACAGTTAATGACGAGACAGAAAGCAGGGAATAGATCCTCTTGATGAAACGTGGAGGACAGAAGAGGGAGATTCATATTGTTGATGACGGAAAAGAGGGGAAAGGAGAGGAGAGACAAGACAAAGCGAGTCACGAAGCGCAAATTACTTAAACAGTTATATCCGGCTGTTATAACCATATATTTACACAAGTTGGAAGTATCAGTAACCCTAGTACGCAGTTACGATACTTAGATTTAGGAAAGACTTGGGTAAATACTGGTTCGGTAACAGGTTGTTGATTTGTGGAACCAATTGCCGCGTAACGTGGTGGAGGTGGGGTCCCTCGATTGTTTCAAGCGTGGGTTGGACATGTATATGAGTGGGATTGGGTGGTTATAAATAGGAGCTGCCTCGTATGGGCCAATAGGCCTTCTGCAGTTACATTTGTTCTTATGTTCTTTTAATAAAACTAACCAAAGCCGTCAAAGATTGAGGAAAGATGTACACGTTCGTAAATACATGCGTAACTGCTTCGTGAATCAGGCCCCTGGTCAGAGACCGGGCTGCGGGGACATTGATCCTGGTAACCAACTCAAGGTGACCCCAACGTAAACAGTCACAAACAGTAAACAGTAAACACACAAACCTTTGGTCTTATGATACCCCCGAGGTGCTCATAACAGTAACTATATTACCCCTATAATTACCCCTATATATTACCCCTATAATTACGAATAAGGAACAGTGGAGACGGGGAAGAACAAACACGAATGAAAATAACTTTGTACAAACCATAGAAATATAGAAAACCAGAAAGGGAAGAACAATGAAAAAACTAGACCATTCCAGTTCTTCATTTTCTTTCTACATTTCTAGTTAGCAAGTAGAACTAGGAAGGAGAATAATTAAAAGGAAGAACGGAATGAATAGAATTAGGAAGACAGCAAGAACCAAGAAATTATAATTTAAATATACGGAAGAAGCATCAGAGAGGAAGTCAATGTACCAGACGAAGTAATAGAGAGGAAGTCAATGTACCAGACGAAGTAATAGAGAGGAAGTCAATGTACCAGACGAAGTAATAGAGAGGAAGTCAATGTACCAGACGAAGTAATAGAGAGGAAGTCAATGTACCAGACGAAGTAATAGAGAGGAAGTCAATGTACCAGACGAAGTAATAGAGAGGAAGTCAATGTACCAGACGAAGTAATAGAGAGGAAGTCAATGTACCAGACGAAGTAATAGAGAGGAAGTCAATGTACCAGACGAAGTAATAGAGAGGAAGTCAGTATACCAGAAGATGTCAACAAAGAGGACGAGTAACGAGGGTACTTTAAGCTGTCACACTGACCTCGTTAATATCTCGTTCTCGGAGACCTCGCAATCTCTCAGGAATCCTTCTGAGGCGCCTCCTGTGGTCTCCAGGGGAGAGAGTGGGAGGTTATGTCAGGTCGTGTTGATGATGGTGAGGTGATGGTGCTTTGTTGATGATGGTGAGGTGATGGTGGTGTTATGCTGATGCTGTTAACAGATTCCAAAAAATGCTCACTTCTAAGCGTATTCATCTCCCCCCACCAAAACAAAGAGCTTTACTCCTGCCGGGAATAATTGCATAGCAGGACTGAGAATGATAAGGGGGGGACTCACCCAATGAGGACGGTGTAGAGGGAGGCGATGAGAAGACAGGTGGCAATGGCTATGCACAAGATGATGGCAATTTGCAGAGCCGTCTCGTAGCCCTTGTAGGGTAAAGTGCTGAGGAGTGGATAATGGAGGTAGGTATTAGTAGTAAGAGTCAATGCACCAGACACCAGAAGTCTTACAAGAGTTCTTACATTCTTGTACAGCCACTAGTACGCGTAGCGTTTCGGGCAGGTCCCTGGAATACGATCCCCTGCCGCGAAGAATCGTTTTTTCATCCAAGTACACATTTTACTGTTGCGTTAAACAGAGGCTACAGTTAAGGAATTGCGCCCAGTAAATCCTCCCCGGCCAGGATACGAACCCATGACTCAATGCTTCCTCTCCAAATTCTGTACTATAACACCAGAATGCCTCCTTAATTCTACGTTACTCATCAAATACCCACCATATTTGTAAAACACCAGAGAGCCTATTCCTAATTCTACTCATTCATCATTGAACGACCGGAACACGTTACTCACCAGAAGCTGAACTCGTAAAAGACGCCGTTTCCGGAGCACTCACAGTAGTTGCCAAGGCACTCGCCCATCTCATGAGTGCAAGAACGGTTCCTGCACTCTGACCCCATGTATCCTGTAAGACAATGCAAACAGATAGACACCAGAAGGAATAATCCCACGTGATCTTGCAGTAAAGTATAACTTGAATTTCATTTGTTATGTTTGTTTTCTCTCTCTCTCTCTCTCTCTCTCTCTCTCTCTCTCTCTCTCTCTCTCTCTCTCTCTCTCTCTCTCTCTCTCTCTCTCTCTCTCTCTCTCTCTCTCTCTCTCTCTCTCTCTCTGTCTCTCTCTCTGTCTCTCTCTCTCTCTCTCTCTCTCTCTCTCTAAATTACAAAATGAGATTAAGGAAGCCTAATTTGCATTACAGTAGATGAGTCACTTACCACATGGTCCGCAGTAGAAGAACTTTGTATTTCGCCCGAACTGTTTACTGTAAGACACACAGCGACCTCTTCCACAAGAACAGGTGCCAGTGTGTTCTCCAGAGTGGTTAGACATGGCAGTGTCAGCTGTACCGAAGGAAGAACGAAGCAAACGCGTTAGTTATCATGAACTGCAAACATCGTTAAGTAAGTGTCTGAGAAATAGCCCGTTATAGTTTCGTGTTATCCTTTGCAGACGATACCAAAATCAGCTTGAAAATTCCTTCTGAAGAAGACATAGAAAAATTACATGCAGAGATCAATAAAGTATCCAATTTTATGAAACATAAAATAACATGATGTTTAACAATGATATATTCAAGATATATAAGTATGTTTAATAAATGAAGAACTTAAATAAAATTTAACGTACAAGACGCAATCAGATCTACCCAAAGAAAGTAAACACTATGTAGAGGATCCGGAAATAATATGTTTAGTGAGTCTAATAAATCAAACATAACATTAACCAGGAAAATGACAGATTGGATTATAAGGACCTCCAAATGCATGTATCCCACCACAATGCTCATAGCATTCAAATCACTGTTGCTGTCTCGCTTTCAGTACTGCTTGATACTCTCTTTTCCTTTCAAAACAAGAGAGATTGCTAAAACAGAGGGAATACAGAGAACATATACACCACGCACTGATACGGCAAAGCGCCTAGACAATTGAAGCCTTTTCAAAGCTCTCAAAATGCGCTCTTTTGAAAGGAGACAGTAGTACTAGGCAGTCATCAGTCTCAGTAGTTGCGCTCCGGTGGCCGGTCTGGAGTGGCCTCTCCAGGGCACAAAGGCAGAGCAGGTTGATGCGGGATAATAGCTGCCACCTACGCAGCATATCCTCCCATTTCCACGGCGCCGAAAGTCTCCAATGGAAAGGCAAACGTCAATACGATTGCTTTCAGTGTCGTCGCAGGAACTGTCAGAACAAGGTTGAAGGCAACAACGAACTGCCCAAGGGGGCTCCAGCTCCGGAGTTTAAGATTACTGTATTACAAATACATTAGTAATGGTTGGAGAGAATTAGTCGCAATACCGTGTCAGAGAAAAAAAAAAACAAGAAATGAAATGAAAGTGAGCCTTTTGGTCCGTCTGGACCAGACCTGGACCCGTCTTGGACTAGTCCTGGACCCGTAGTCAACAACCCTGGACCCTTCAGGACTTGATATATAATCCAGAACGGATCACAACGTCGACTCTTTCATGTCCTTAGTATGGCCTGGGTTACTTATTAAGCATCCCTCAAAGGACATTACTAATTTATCTGGAGTGGGTTTCGGGAGTTCTTCTCCCCGAGCCCGCCCTGGGGCCAGGTTACCAGTAACCAGTAACGTTACCAGTAACCAGTAAGACCTATTTTAAGACGTTAAGATTGATGAGCATTAAATAGCAATACTAACTGGTGCAGAAGGGTCGGGATGGGATGCTTGAGTCCTTGCCTAGGTCCATGGCAAGCTGTAACATGGGCAACGCGGCCCAGCAGTTGTCATCGGAACTGCAGGAAATCTCCTCTAGGATGCAGTTGTTTTGGTCCACAGTACAGAAGCTTGCTTCGGCCACGGCTGCAGGAGAGAGAGAGAGACGTTTGTGTGAGAAGAGAGAGAGAGAGAGAGAGAGAGGGAGAGAGAGAGAGAGAGAGAGAGAGAGAGAGAGAGAGAGAGAGAGAGAGAGAGAGAGAGAGAGAGAGAGAGAGAGAGAGAGAGAGAGAGAGAGAGAGAGAGAGAGAGAGAGAGAGAGAGGAGAGAGAGAGAGAGAGAGAGAGAGAGAGAGAGAGAGAGAGAGAGAGAGAGAGAGAGAGAGAGAGAGAGAGAGACGTTTGTGTAAGTGAGGATAGACGTTCAGGTGAGTGAGAGGACATATAAACGATTAAGACAAGGAACGTATACGTTTCTCTAGGTCAGGACTCCGTACTCCAGTACTAACCTAACACTGTTACCATACAACGCCCGGGAAGGCTGGCTTTTCTAGCCTTCTAAAGGCCAGTTAAGGTAATTATATAGAGGAGACAGTTTTAAGTCATTACGACCATACAGCACTTGGAAGTGAAGTGGAACTACTACCTGTACTCCTGCTACTGCTGTCACTTGTTAAGGGGAGACAATAGCGATGGAGATGAAGGAGACAATAGCGATGGAGATGAAGGAGACAAGTCTAAGAAAAGTAGAATTGATGATTTAGGTTCGATTCATCATCTGTTGAATGACATCTGACCTGTCCGAAACGCTGCGCGTACTAGTGGTTTTACAAGATTGTAAATACTGTAATATGCTATGAATTCTCACAAACCCAATGTACCTTCTTGTATACAAATAAATAAATAAATAAATAAATAAATGATGTTTCGGTTCTATTTATCAACTAAGGACTATGTTTTAGGTTCCATTCATCGCCAAGTGTTTCTGCTCCATTCATCGTATATTCCACACATCATCATCATATATAAACAACATCTCAACACTTCAGTAGATCATCAGCAAAAACCCGAGACGCTTCAAAAAAGACTATGGCACTGTGCAGTGATCTACGTCGGCGGGTTGCAACCGAAAGGTCTCGGGTTCAATGCCGCAGTAGGACAAGCAAAGACATTGCGTGTTAAATAGTTTTCCTTCCAATCATGTATCAAGATGATTCACTCATCAAGATTTTTATTCAGGCTTTCAGTTCTCTGATGGCATCAGAAAAATTGACAAGTAGGCTCTTTGGGGATATAATATGCATCGGATATTTGTCAAAATACTTTAATGGAATATATATGTGCATAGTAATTTTAGTTTAAAATCTGATTAACAAGAGTCCTGTGAGGTAATAGAATCCCCAGCACATTTGCAGCACTGAACGTTAGGTTGTATACAGCATTATATTGTTCACATATTTCTGTAAATTTGGTCGGTGTGAGAAGTAGTAGCAGTAGAAGTAGTAGCAGTAGAAGTAGTAGCAGTAGAAGTAGTAGCAGTAGAAGTAGTAGCAGTAGAAGTAGTAACAGTAGAAGTAGTAGCAGTAGAAGTAGTAGCAGTAGAAGTAGTAGCAGTAGAAGTAGTAGCAGTAGAAGTAGTAGCAGTAGAAGTAGTAGCAATACAAGTAGTAGAAGTAGAACATTAGCATAACAGAAAACATTGATGGTGTCTATGTAACAGCCAGCTCAGCTGGCTCCTATATAACTCCTTCAACACTGGATCAAGTTTAAGTTCGTAAACGAACTTAAACTTGAGACAAAAAAATACATTTCAGAGAGACAAAGTAGCTTAGGCAACATGAACAGCAGATGCTAAAGAGCAAACAAACAAAAACAGCCTGTTTGACCCATTTTTTAGTGAGAAATGTTCAGAAAATTGTTGCACGAAACGCTATGCGTATTAGTGGCTTTAGGCTGTACTAGCCTATTTAGAAATCCAACATTATGTTTGTAACTGGTCATGTATGCATGTATTTTTACCTCAATAAACATTTGATTTGACTTGATTTGAGAATACATATCGCTGAAACATTGTTTCTGTAACACTGATTCTTTGATTAACATTGAAAATTTTCTTAGATTAAGGACCTGCCCGAAACGCTGCGCGTACTAGTGGCTTTACACGAATGTAATTTATTTATATATATATATATATATATATATATATATATATATATATATATATATATATATATATATATATATATATATATATATATATATATATATATATATATATGTGTGTGTATATCACGAAAATAAACAAACACGTGATTAAGAATGTGACAATGTCAGACCACGAAGGAAAAATGAAACAGGAAATTTCCTTAAGTACTTTCGTATATTAAATACATCTTCAGAAGGCCGAAGGTATATATATATATATATATATATATATATATATATATATATATATATATATATATATATATATATATATATATATATATATATATATATATATATATATATACAAGAAGGTACATTGGGATTGTGAGGATACATAGCATAGTAATTACATTCTTGTAAAGCCACTAGTACGCGCAGCATTTCGGGCAGATCCTTAAACTAAGAAACTTATAAATAGGTAAATACTTGCAAAATTTATATATTTATATATAATTATATATTTTAATTATACAAATTTATACAAAATTTATATATAATTACTATGTTATGTATCCTCACAATCCCAAAGTACCTTCTTGTGTATATATAAATAAATTGATTCTGTCAAATGCTTTCAGTAAAAATATTTCTATAATACAAAATCAAAGAAAGTAGTTTATTTTGAACATTTTGTTGATATACGAAACTGATTTCCTCTCTCCTAACCCAAGTTGAGATACTATTTTGTTTACTTACGAGAGTGGACGAATCGTCCAACATTTATGATTCCCCGGTTCGACCATCCCCGTCCTTCACTGTCGCCTCCAGCCTTCACTATAATCACCTCACCATCACCAGCAAGGTACACCATAGCGTTATCACTATATCCAGGCGTATCACCATGTCTTGCACCAGCGGTGACAGTAGCTAGAACCAGCATTAGAGCCGCTAACCGCCTGGAATTCTCCATCATTTTGCTTCCATGGGTTGTACAGGGTGTGTGTTTTTCTGTCTGTCTGCCGCAGACGGGAGATGCACTGTCTGTCTGTCTGTCACGGACGGAAGGTAGAGTGTCCGTGGGCATCACGGACGAGCGCAGTGAGCCCGTCTTATCACTAATTATCAGTGCACATTAGCTTTTATCAGCGTGTTAGTCTCGCGCCTGCGCAGTAGAGAGCACCAGCTTGGGACAGTGAAGGAGAGAGAGATAAGGAGGAGGAGATAAGGAGGAAGAGATAAGGAGGAAGAAGACGAAGAAGAAGAAGTGGGATAACAAGAAAAAAGTGAAGTGTGTCTGCATAACGCTGCTTCCCTAACAGTGAGATTTTAAATGTAATTTTAATGTTCTACATGAGTTTTTTAATATTTTAAGTGCTTTGTTATTTAAACAAAAATATTTTAATGTTTTTAATACTATTTTAATTTTTTTTTTTTTTTTTTTTTTTTTTTGAGATATATAGAAGAGTTGTTACATTCTTGTACAGCCACTAGTACACGTAGCGTTTCGGGCAAGTCCTTAATCCTATGGTCCCTGGAATACGATCCCTGCCGCGAAGAATCGTTGTTACAACCAAGTACACATTTTACTGTTGCGTTAAACAGAGACTACAGTTAAGGAATTGCGCCCAGTAAATCCTCCCCGGCCAGGATACGAACCCATGACATAGCGCTCGCGGAACGCCAGGCGAGTGTCTTACCACTTTTGTCTTACCACATAGTTTTAAAAACTATTTTGATGTTTTAAACACTATTTTGATGTTTTAAACACTATTTTAATGTTTTAAACACTATTTTGATGTTTTAAACACTATTTTGATGTTTTAAACACCATTTTAATGTTTTAAACACCATTTTTAATTTTTAAACACTATTTTGATGTTTTAAACACCATATTGATGTTTTATTTTTTAAACACTATTTTGATGTTTTATGTTTTAACACTATTTTGATGTTTTAAACACTATTTTGATGTTTTAAACACTGTTTTAAACACTATTTTTTAAACACTGTTAATGTTTTAAACACTATTTTGATGTTTTAAACACTATTTTAATGTTTTAAACACTATTTTGATGTTTTAAACACTATTTTGATGTTTTAAACACTATTTTAATGTTTTAAATACTATTTTAATGTTTTAAACACTATTTTGATGTTTTAAACACTATTTTAATGTTTTAAATACTATTTTAATGTTTTAAATACTATTTTGATGTTTTAAACATTATTTTGATGTTTTAAACACTATTTTAATGTTTTAAATACTATTTTAATGTTTTAAATACTATTTTAATGTTTTAAATACTATTTTATAATGCGTTAAGGCTATACAAATTCGTACACGCTTCCCAAATCCTAATTATGTTACTGTGTTTATAGTCTTAGTGTTGGGATCATGTCAACTTTCAAACCTGTTTTCGCTTGCAGGTTCTTGTAGTTCTCGTTCACCCATAGTGTAGATTTCTTTTGTTTTTTCTTCTTCTCCTGTTTTCATCTTGATAACCTTACATTTATTGGTGTTGAACTCTATGGTCCATTTATCTCTCGACTCTTGGAGTTCGTTAAGGTCATCTAGGATTTTTTTGCTGTTATTCTCGGATTTTACAATCATAATAAATAGGCATTAAACCGCGTAATTAACTTTCTAGGATTTTTACTTGCTTAGCTAAATGAATTTCTTGGTTTAATGTCCTCGTGTTTCCTCTTCTAGTATGACTCTAGTCATACTAGAATGAATCTTCTAGTATGATTGGTATGGGGTGCATAATGAGGGGGAGGGGAATTATCAGGGGAAAGCGCCAAGCCATTACGACTATATAGCACTGGGAAGGGGCCATGATAATTATTTGGGATGGGACGGGGGGGGGGGGGGGGGAGGAATGGTGCCTAACCACTTGGGCAGTCGGGGACTGAACGCCGACCTGCATGAAACGAGACCGTCGCTCTACCGTCCAGCCCAAGTGGTTGGGCGGTACCCAATATTCAATACCCGTTGATATTAAGACTGAAATATTAAATGAGGGGGGAAAGCAACAAATGAAGGGTTTATTAATTTAAAAATAAGGAATACAAACTTATTACACACTGTCACCACCTTCCCGCTAACATACCTGAATGTGTATTGATCACTGATCTCCCAGGAAGGACAGGGATCAATAATCATGAACTCCAGGGGATATAAATCTTGGTAAATATAATTGCTTGGGGAGTAAACCATATATAACCTTTACTTACTTATTGAGAAAAGAGGGACTTCAAATTCAGCACACGAATACCACATATACAAAAATGACTCAGCATTAATCAAAGGGATCAGATAACTAAACACAAATTACATTAATAATCAATTTATTATTTAAATCACATATTCAAATAAAAAAATTCAAATTCAAATGTTTATTCAGGTAAAGTACATATACATACAAGGGGTGATACAAATATTGATGAATTTATAGATAGAGCTAGTACATATATATTGAAATTAAATTGAAAATATCCTACTCTAATAAAACCCCTACGAGGCAATCGTCTGACTTAATGATGGACATGATACTCCAGCAAACTTTACCTTAAAACTGCAAAATCAGCCACAGGATGTTGATGGCTGCCCCAGGTTCTGAAGGGACTTCTCTCCAAGTTCTGCCCAAGACACACTAACGACAATTTATTTTGACTACCCCAGGGGAGCCTATTGTTTCTCTCACGAGTTTGGCTCCAGGTTAGGAGCCAATCAATTCGAACTCGGTGCTCTGGAGGCTTGGCCAATGGTGCCCGCTCCTACCCTGGGGGACTCCGTCTCTTGAAACTTCAGTCCAATCACTGGAGCCCCCAAGCCTAATACCCTGGCACAACTAACCAATGACACAAAAGCCCCTGCCCTTGGCCAATGAAAAGCCTGACATTTGCCCGGTGGGCGGTGCTCTCCCAGAAACTGGAACTACGCAGTAACGACTCATCTCGTGGGAAGAAGCTGCCCTGACCACCTAAGGGAAACTTGAGAGCACGAATGTTAGGGTCCCAGAGTTGTACTGGTCCTAAACCTGTCAATGGTTATGGAGAGGACAGAGAAAGGGAGAGGAAGAGGGATTGCAAAGAAGACTGGTGAAGAAGATTAGAGAGAGGGATTAAAGAAATACGATTAGGGGAACAGAAGGGGACAAGTGACTTGCGATGGTCCCACTGCCTAAGGGTAAGCTCCCTGGAAACACAAACCGAAACTCTCTGTATTTTCCGCTTGTTACAACTTGTAATAAAGTTGTTACATCTTGGCTTAACGTGTTTATGACGTATTAGAACGTTGTTACAATTTGATATATTGGTTGTTATAACTGGTTAGGTGGTGTTAAAACTTGTTCGAACGTTGTACCAACGTCGTAATTTTGATGTGTGTTTGGTGGGAGTTGACTCGAGTTCATGGCAGGAAATGGCGAACGGGAGGGGGGCGGAAGGGAGGAAAGACTGACCACACGAGGGGACGGCAACCAGGGGAAGGGGAAAGAAAGAGGGGAGAAGATAGAAGAAAGAAGAAAGGTTGGTCTGCACCGATCATTATACGAGGGTGCATAATGAAATAAATTAAACTAACTCATTTGCGTTACATCGTATGTAAACATTGACATAAACATATTTGTAGAGCAACTGAATCTGTATTTTTATAAACAGTTACTACAACTATTGTTAAAATAAATTCCTATTTCATCCGGAAGTTTAAGTTAAATACTTCTTTTGTATTTATAATTTATGTCATAATCTGAAATTATTGAAAAATCATTAACGATAATAATAATAATCGCACAAAAATCACATTAACGTGATATATATTAATGAAAAAATCCGCTAGAACAATGTAGCTAAGGTAAATACAAGTCCCTATGGTCTAGTGGTAGAATATGTGGCTTGGTAACGCCAAAGTCGAAGGTTCGCGTCCACCTTATTGCCCTAGTGGATTATCTCAATAGTAATAATAATAATAATGGAGGCATGAGGCACCGAACTGGTACCAAATTAGGTGTTTACCCATTACCAGGAGGCCTGGTCGAGGACCGGGCCGCGGGGACACTAAAAGCCCCGAAATCATCTCAAGATAACCTCAAGATCTCAAAATTACCTGCGTACACTTGAGTGTGATGTAGTGGTTCACCACCATAAGCGCCTCTGAAATACACAAGGAAGTGACGCTAATGTGAAAATCAACTGGAACAATGCAGGGATTCGAGCCTTGATTCGAATGCGATTTGAGCATTGATTCGAATGCTCGAATGCGATTTGAGCATTGATTCGAATGCTCAAATGCGATTCGAGCATTCGAGCCTCAACCCTTGACATAAGTCGAGGCCAGGAAGCAACCCGTCCTCGACTCAAGTCCATTACATTCAGCGGTCAACCCCACAGACGCAATCATAAATTTTACTCAAATTTTCTGTTCACTCAAAACGGGAATTTTCTCAAGTATAAATTAATATTATAATATATTAGCATATTGTGTATATATAGGCATAGGATAGGTTAGGTTAGGTGTTTAGGTTCTGTTGGCGATTATTTGTATTTGTAGTACGTGGGTGAAGCATTTATAGCGTTGTGATTCGAACAAAATTCGTCAGTGAAGCACTTATTCCGGATATGTTCGAATGTCAGCAGTTATGAGTCGTGTGTAAACCGCTTTTCATTCATAAACAGGGGGTTTGGCGGGTGCATGGAATCACTTTGGGGTCTTTGTTTGGAGGACGGGCTGCAGGAAGACACAGGGTCGATTGTTTGAACCCCAGCATTGCTACAATAAATTTTTTCATTGATTCATCACGTTAGTGATGATCTCTACGTGTAATAATATTAATAATATTACAAAATTGATAACATTAATATCTTCAACAAACCAGTGCCATTTATCCAGCTCAAAATACAAAAGAAAATAATGGATGCAAAGTTAATAAAATTTGTTTCAGACATTTTGTTAAATTCTGGGTGGGAAAAAGTGCTGTAGATTTATGGAACAAAATTGCCTGGTAAACTTGGTATGGGATCGCTTGATTGTTTCAAGCGTAGGTTAGACATCTGAATGAGTCGAGGCCACGTCAAGGTCCACGTCTTTGGTGACCCAGGTCGACAGTTCGATCCCCCCGCCCTACTCCACATATTTTCTTATATATGTGTATTTTGTGATACATTATGTATAATGATGAAAATTTTTGTTACTGATGAATGAATACATTTCCCCATTCAATAAATTTTAATATTTCCACATACAAACATTTGAAAGATTATTTAATGTTTAGTTATCTCAAAATCCAGTTAATCAAACCAAAAATAATATGTTGAATATTTTACTGTGTTTCTGGAACATTGTAGACGTTAAAATTATTAATTATGTAGAAAATTAAAATTTGTGTCAGTTTGTCTGATAATAATTACCAATTTAAGGAGCCTTAAAAACAAAAGCCATTAAATCATGAACAAATGAACAAATCATCACCAGTGTATCCATTAAAACATCTTCAGTACTAAATAAATTTAGTTATTTCATAGCAAAGCATTACAAATCATCGATCAAAATAATGAATTCAATCATAGTTTCTCTATAAACGTCAGTATTTATATTCACTATCTTAGTGACAGACACCAATATGTAGCCATCAATGATGTAACTTCTCCCACTCTACCATTAACCGCTGGGGTGCCACAGGGTAGCATCCTAGGTCCTCTCCTATTTCTTATATACATCAATGATCTGCCTAATGTCTCTAACATTCTTAAACCTATATTATTTGCTGACGATACTACCCTCATCTACTCAGACCCCAACCCACACACACATTAAATAATGTTGGAAATAATGAACTAAAAAAAGTCCCCTTATAGATGTCAACCAACACACACTAAACATAGAAAAGACCTACCACATCTTAATTGGAAGCAAATCAACAAATGCAAGTCAGCTTCAGATAGACAGTGAGATAGACAATGATAGACATCAGCAATAAAAATGATGTAAAGTTCCTTGGCCTATACTTAGCCAAGAAACTCAACTTCAGCACCCACATACAACACATAACCAAGAAAGTCTCTAAAACGGTTGGTACACTCTCTAAAATCAGATATTATGTACCTAACTCTGCTCTCCTCTCTCTATACTACGCACTAATCTATCCCTATCTTACTTATGGTATCTGCGCATGGGATTCAACCACTGCAAACTGCCTCAAGCCCATCATCACCCAGCAAAAATGGGCTACCAGAACAATAACAAACTACTTTCAGACAACACTCAGCCCCCTTGTTTAAATCCCTAAACATGCTTAACATAAACTCACTACACACATTTTCTTGTGCCATTTGCATTTACAAAACCCTGTTCTTAAATGCAAACCCTGTTCTGATACTCTTCCTGGACAGATGTAATAGAACCCATTATCACCACACCAGAAATAAATATATCTTTGATATCCCCAGAGTCAAACTTAATCTGTGTAAACACTCTATGCAATTAAAGGGACCCAGTCTATGGAACTCACTCCCTAATGAATTGAAAAGCTCTCTAACTTTTGCCTTATTCAAAAACAAAATTAAAAAGTACCTAATTTTATCTACATAGCTTTCCACCTAGCTTGCACTGTATCAAGTGCTACCCAATCTCCTAATATATGTACCCAAGCCATACACCTTTATCATTGTAATCATTGCTATCATCTTATATCATGGTTGTTATATTGAACGCATATTTTATTGCATTATACCTTGAAATAACCCTCAAACTATGCTACCATGTACCATGTTGTACCATGTAGGGTGCAAGGTTCACTTACACCCAACCAGTAGCCTCTATTCTCTGTTTACTTTTTGGTGATTGGTTGATGTGGATGTGGGTTCAGAAGTAGCCGAGGGTGTACAGGTGGATGTGGGTTCAGAAGTAGCCGAGGGTGTACAGGTGGATGTGGGTTCAGATGTGGATATAGACGTGGATATGAGTTTCGATGTGGATATCAGCGTTGTTGTAGAAGATACGGGCACGGTTTTGGTTGTGGAAACGCTTGGAACTTTTGCAGTCGATGTAGAGGTTGGTGACTTGGTAGATGTAGAGGTAGATGACGGGGTGGATGTAGAGGTAGATGAAGGGGTGGATGTAGGGGTGGATAACGCCGCTGAAACTTTCTCTTCATTGGAAGGGAGAGACGTGAAGAGCTCAGCCTCAAAAGCAACATTGACGAGTCCAACATCGCTGCTTTCCTGTAAGATCATATGAACATTTTAACAAGATTAGCAAATAACATCAACTCAACATTTAGAATAGACATTTAATAAAAATAAAATAAATTATAACCTAACAACCATACAGACTTTAAACTAATTAATTAGTCCTCAGTACTAGCTAACTTATAACATATTCCACTTATATAACATTATTAATTCAGTAATTCTAAAATTTTATATGTTGTAATGTTGGTAAACATTCTCTCAAGAACTGAGTGTGAATGAGCATGATAAAGACACGAAGCTCATTCGGTTAACCAAGCTTTGTTAGTTAGGCAAAGATCTATATCATATCAAAGAGCGAAATATACCAGGTTTAAGACAATATTTTAAATGCTAAATACAATCCGTCATCATATATAGAGACATCACAATATGTACAGACATCTTCCTATATACAAAAACATCATATATATTGAGACATCATCGTATATACAGAGACATCATCATATATATTGAGACATCATCGTATATACAGAGATATCATCATATATACTGAGACATCATCATATATACAGAGACATCATCTCACACATAAAACGTTCTGGAACACAAAGATCAGTCAGCACCGTTCCTGTGCCAGGTAAGTTACGGGCTCACCATAGCCCGTGCTACTTGCCCTGCTTCTGTGCCAGGTAAGTTACGGGCTCACCATAGCCCGTGCTACTTGCCCTGCTTCTGTGCCAGGTAAGTTACGGGCTCACCACAGCCCGTGCTACTTGCCCTGCTTCTGTGCCAGGTAAGTTACGGGCTCACCATAGCCCGTGCTACTTGGAACGTGTTCCGAGTACCTGAATCTATAACAACAACAACAACTCAAAGATCATCCATCCTCAGCTTACGCGTCACACATCAGCTCAAGATAACCAAACAAAACAATAACAAACAATGTTTTCTTAGCACTTGAGTACACGAGTGAAACTGGACAAAACTAACCTTTTGGATTACCTTAGGGCCCGGACTACCTTCAGGGCCTTACTAAGTTCAAGTTCAAGTATGTTTATTGAGACAAGAAAGAAATACATCTCAAAGGGATAGAGTAGCTTAGGCTATTTCTATCCCCCCCCCCCTTGGGCCTTACCTTAGGAACTATCTAGCGAGCCTCACCTTGCGCAAATTTTGAGTGTTTTAACAGAAAACGAGGAGAATAGATAGGGAGGTAAATGTAACAGCCACATAAGTGCAATTATGTACTATGTATGACAGTCAGGAAATGTACTTATTACACTTAGTACTAAAACGCACTGTCAATTCGGAGGATAGGTTGCAAGGTGAGCATCTTGAGGGCCTTACCTTGGTGTTCATCTGGAGGGCGTCTTGATAGGAGGGAAGTTTGTCAACAACATCGTCGTATGTCGGAGGAGTGTCGTTGGCCGGAGGCTGAAAATATGAGGGAATTATTATGGAATTATTATGGGGTGAAGGAATGTCTAAGAATTGAGGGAATTACTATGGGGTGAGGGGGAGTTTATATGGAGTCTGAGGGGGAATTACTATGGGGTGAGGGAATTTATATGGAGTCTGAGGGGGATTACTATGGGGTGAGGAGAGTTTATATGGAGTCTGAGGGAAAATTACTATGGGGTGAGGGAATTTATATGGAGTCTGAGGGGGAATTATTATGGAATTAGGATGATTATAACGGAGTAAGAGGTAAAGAAATGGGAACATCAATATGTTATTCATAAGGTCAACTCATATGTGCTTTTAACAATTAAAATCAATACCCAACAGAAAAAATATGAATTATGTTATTCACAAAATTTATTTTATTCTTGTTTTGCATATATAATATTTTTAAATTATTCTATTAAATTATGTAAATATAACTGTAAATTAACTTTAAATTAATTAAAGTAAATTATGCAAATGTAACTTTAAATGAACTTTAAATTAATTAAAGTAAATTAAACTAGAATTTTTAATGTTACTAGAATTATTGCTTCTAGCATTTTGACTATTTTTACTAGTAATACTTAAAATATTACCTGACGTCTCACACTCCTCCTGAACCAGCTCTCAGGCAGCCTTCGTTGTCGTCGGCTGTGGATGACACGAAGTGGTCAGTACAGGTCCAGTTAATGTCAGTCTCTACCACTTTATATCGAGAGTCCACTACGGGCTCACCATACCCCGTGCTACTTGGAATTTTTTGTTCTAGGTAGGGAATCTTGTACAATAACACAACTCTCTTACCAAGCTGTTAGTACACGTTAGTAATAATAGTACATTCTTCTTATTATTATTGTTGATGGTGTTGTTAAAGATTTACTATCCATTAGAAAGCTGTTAATTCAGCAAGCTCTCCAGAGCGCTTAATTAAGATCTTACAAATGACGCTTCCAGGTGCTCTAATACGAGGCGATTACACTCGCGCGAAGCCGTGAGTACGGTTCAATGAACAGCCGTACAGAAGCCTCAAATTAATCAAATCAAAGCTCTCTAAGACCGTAGCCTCAACAGCAGCGCCCAAGAATCTATACAGCCACACTCTATAAACATCACGAGTGCCGCAAATGCACTCAAGGAACTCCACAACTCGAGTGAAGGGAGATTTATTGATTTATTTATTTATTTATTTATTTATATACAAGAAGGTACATTGGGTTTGTGAGAATACATTGGATAGAACAGTATTTACATTCTTGCAAAGCCACTAGTACGCGCAGCGTTTCGGGCAGGTCCTTAATCTAGCAGAGATGGAAAACTTACTTGCTTATCCTGTGGTAGCTGTAGCCGAGGACGCAACAGATGAGCACAATAACAAAGGTTGTCACCAGCATCCCTACCGCCAGCTGCTTCCCGTAGAAGGGAATGTAACTGTGGGGGAGAGTACAGTGAAAACTCTCAACCTCCTATCATGCCTTATGTAGACTAAGGTAAACTCGAGGCCGTATGTTGCTATGGATAAATCCAAAATCACGTGTTGTTATGGGTAAACCTCAGACCACATGTTGTTATGGGTAAACCTTAGACCACATGTGTTGTTATGGTAAACATCATATGGGTTTAATGTTTTTTTTTCTGCTGTATGTGTTCTAGGGTTTACCTTAGTAATATTCAAGAGTCATGGACGGGATCAGACTCACCACTCACACATAGACAGGATCACTCACCACACACATGACACTAGACAGGATCAGACTCACCACTCACACATAGACACATAGACAGGATCAAACTCACCACTCACACATAGACGGGATCACTCACCACACAGATGACACATAGACAGGATCACTCACCACTCACAGATGACTCATGGACGGGATCAGACTCACCACACACACGACACATAGACAGGATCACTCACCACTCACAGATGACTCATGAACAGGATCACTCACCACATACATGACACAGACAGGATCAGACTCACCACATACATGACACAGACAGGATCAGACTCACCACATACATGACACAGACAGGATCAGACTCACCACATACATGACACAGACAGGATCAGACTCACCACATCACTCATGACACAGACAGGATCAGACTCACCACATACATGACACAGACAGGATCAGACTCACCACATACATGACACAGACAGGATCTCAGACACAGACAGGATCAGACTCACACATACATGACACAGACAGGATCAGACTCACCACATACATGACACAGACAGGATCAGACTCACCACATACATGACACAGACAGGATCAGACTCACCACATACATGACACAGACAGGATCAGACTCACCACATACATGACACAGACAGGATCAGACTCACCACATACATGACACAGACAGGATCAGACTCACCAGAAGACAGGATCAGACTCACCACATACATGACACAGACAGGATCAGACTCACCACATACATGACACAGACAGGATCAGACTCACCAGAAGGTGAGGTCGTAGAAGATGCCATTGTTGACACACTCACAGTAGCCTCCCTTGCACTCAGCCAGTGGGTGAGTGCAAGTGGTGTTGTAGCACTGGGCTCCCACCCATCCTGTGTTTACACAACTTTATTCACACGTGGAGCTGGAGAGTAGGTGGTTAGCGTGTAATGGTGTAGTTCGGGGTAGTTAGTAAATAAATTTCACGGTGATCCGGGGGAGATAAGCGTGGGCCTAATGATTCAGTCGTAGTTACGAATTGGTAATTTGCCTCACTGATATGGTTACTTAATCAACAGGTTTGCAATGATGGATATAAACTTGATAAGTTCAGATTCAGGAAAAACCTGGGTAAATACGAGTTTGGAAATAAGATGGTGCATCTATAGAGCAAATTATAGAGTAATGTATGTATGGGACAATGGAGAAGAGAAGGTATCTACACCATGAGGAGAAGGTATCTACTACGGGGAGCCGGTTGGCCAAGCGGACAGCACGCTGGACTTGTGGTCCTGGGTTCGATCCCAGGCGCCGGCGAGAAACAATGGACAGAGTTTCTTTCACCCTGTGCCCCTATTACCTAGCAGTAAAATAGGTACCTGGGTGTTAGTCAGCTGTCACGGGCTGCTTCCAGGGGGTGGAGGCCTGGTCGAGGACCGGGCCGCGGGGACACTAAAGCCCCGAAATCATCTCAAGATAACCTCAAGATCTCAAGATAGTTATTAGGAGAAGGAATCTACAGGAGCCAGAGAGAAACATGTATTAGAGATGGTGGATATTTCTCCAACACTGTACCCACAAGTACACATAAACCGAGTAACATCGGGAGAATATGAGACGCTGGCAACTTTGAGGTTACCTTGAGGTGCTTCCGGGGCTTAGCGTCCCCGCGGCCCGGTCATCGACCAGGCCTCCTGGGGCCAGATTCACGAAGAAGTTACGCAAACACTTACGAACCTGTACATCTTTTCTCAATCTTTGGCGGCTTTGTTTACAGTTATTAAACAGTTAATGAGCTTTAAAGCACCAGGAGGCTGTTTATAACAATAACAACAGTTGATTGGGAAGTTTTCATGCTTGTAAACTGTTTAATAAATGTAACCAAAGGCATAAAAGTTTGTGGAAAGATGTACACGTTCGTAAGTACTTGTGTAACTGCTTCGTGAATCTGGCCCCTGTTTGCTGAACTGGTCAACCAGGCTGACGTACGAATCACAGCCTGGTTGACGTCGTTAAAGCAAGCATTAAAACATCGTTTAGAAACCTAAACCCGCACTCATTCAAGGCAATCTACAGTCTTTGCTTGACCAATACTGTAATATGCAGCACTGGCCTGGAACCCGCACTTGGTGAAGCATGATACTCAAATTTGGAATATTACAAATATTTGCAATAAGATTAGTGCCAGAGCTAAGAGGACTGAACTACGAGGAAAGTTAAGGGAACTAGATCTCACAACCCTAGCGGAAAGAAGAAACACAGAGGACATGATTGCAACATACAAGATACTGAGAGGAATTGACAAGTGGACAATAACAACTTTAGAATTAGAGAAAGTAGGACGAGAGGACATAAGTGGGAAACGCAAATGAGCCGAAGAAATGTAAAGCAGCTCTCGTTCCACATACAAGTGGTCCATAAATGGAACCCACTGAAGGAGTAAGTTGTAGAAACCACCTCTACCCACAACTTTAAGACAAAATATTCGAATATCAGAATAGTTAAAGTACAACGCACTAGGTACAACAGGGGCCGCGGTAGGCGGGCCCATATGATCTTCCCCGCCATTACTGACAAAGTACCACTTACCGCAAGGTCCGCAGTAGTAAAATGGTTCTCCGTTACTGTAGAAATCACGACTATATGACACGCATTTGCCCGGGCCGCAGGTGCAGTGGCCCGCACCATGGTGGTGGTGGTGGTGTGGCTCCTTATCTTCCGGAGAGTCTGAAGGAGACACAGTTGTCAGACCAGTGATTAAGCGCAAGATTCATGTACTTGTCCGGAGTAACGTTAGGTGAGGTGATGGTCAAGTGCACACTGTAGAAGGTCCATGTGAGGACACGGGCTTCATACGTACAAGGACACGAGCTAAATATGAGTAATTGCATGCTTTATGGCTCCTCTATACAGGTCTAATGTTATGTGTGGTGAAGTGCGTTAGCTGCTGTACTACCAACGTAAAAGTTGTCGTTGTAAGTGACAGCAGTTACTTCCATGTTCCTTTCCAGAGTAGAGCTTATGTAAAACTTTTGTAAAAAAAGTATGTCAATGACTTAAACGCGAGTTAATAGTGCTATAGTGACGTATGGTACTGCGGTGGTAGTGTCACTATTACTTCAGTGTTAGAGTGGTGTTACAGCAGCGTTGGGGTGGGGGGGGGGGTGAGATGGCAGATGCTGTACTCACAATTACAGTAAGGCCTTGAAGGTAAGGAAGTGTCGTAACTCAGAGCGATGTCCAGCCCACAGAGAGCAGCTGTACAATTAGCATCGCTGGTACACTCCACGGACTCAATGTCCTCCTCCAGCTCGACCAGCGAACCTGTGGGAGGTTGGACGGGTGACTTAGAGAGACAGAGAGACAGTACCAGAGAGTGTGAGTACATACTTGTACTAACAAATATACAGTACTCACAAATATACAGTACTCACAATCTTTGCAGGAGAATAAACCTCTAACCTTGGCACTCATATCCACTGCCTTGCCTCATAAGCCACCTTCCCTTTATCATAACTTCCTCATAATAAACTTTTTCCTCTGTTCGAAATATTGTTTAGATGATAACTTTCAAAGCTCTCCAATGTGTTTTGAGTCGACGTGCGGCGATAAAAGAGGAGAGATAAGCGTTATCAACATGTCACCCTCAAAGGGATAGGGTGCCAGTCAGTAATGTTGACACATACATACATACATACATACATACATACATACATACATACATACATACATACATACATACATACATACATACATACATACATACATACATATATACGTACATACATACGTATATACATACATACATACATACATACATACATACATACATACATACATACATACATACATACATACATACATACATACATACATACACACACACACACACACACACACACACACACACACACACACACACACACACACACACACACACACACACACACACACACACACACAAGGTCAAGATCCCTTAACCTTGGCTACATTGCTTAACTTACTGATATCTGTATAAACATTTTTAAGTCATATTAATGCATCAGTAATCACTTTTATTCTTGGAAAGCCTCATCCATCTTCTACCGGTTAAAGACACAAGATTTTAGTATTTTATATAATATTCTTGTAGTCCAGGTTTATCGTTACATTTTCCTTGTTTGTCTCACGCTTATTTCACCTTTGAAATTGAAATTGAAATAAGTTTATTGAGGTAAAATACACACAAAGGGATGAGGTAGCTCAAGCTATTCTCACCCCGTTCAGTACATCGTGTTAATACATACATAGACACACATCACAAACAATAAACATTATCAAACATTCTGAGAGATAAACATCTACATTTCCTTATTTCACCTTTGTCCGGACAAATTGATTACCTGTCAGACAGTTAACCTGGTCGATTGCTTCTTTAACTTGACTATTCATGACGGTAATCTAGAACGTTGTAGAGCATTTCTTCTCACTCATAATTATACCTTTGTCCAAATCTCTATTTCTCTCACATAAATACCATCAAAACCTTCTCACGTAAGATCCATTCCACAATATCTTGAGCAATAACAATTTACTTGGATCATGGCGGCTCGAACTCTGGACCCAGATTCACGAAGCAGTTACGCAAGCACTTACGAACATGTACACCTTTCCTCAATCTCTGACGGCTTTGGTTACATTTATTAAACAGTTTACACACATGAAAACTTCCCATTCAACTGTTGTTATTGTTATAAACAGCCTCCTGGTGCTTCGGAGCTCATTAACTGCTAAGTAATTGTAAACAAAGCCGCCAAAGATTGAGAAAAAATGTACAGGTTCGTAAGTGCTTGCGTAACTGCTACATGAATCTGGCCCCTGGTCTTTTAAGTGCGAAACTGTCAACAAACCTTTGTTCACAAGGATATTGGAATGAGAGCTCTCCAAATTCCTTAGTGGAATTTCCTGGAAATGTCTTAACTCTCCGTTGGGTACCAGTTAGGTCATGATGGTGAGAACCCATGGCTGGTAAGACGATAGTCTTGTACTTTCGAGGCCCGCGTTCGATCCCCGCTGATCAAAGTAAATAAGATTTTCAAGTAGATTGACAATAATTCTCCACTACGAGAACACCTAACTCACTCCGAGGTCCAGAGGTGGGCGCGTTCCACACCAACAAATATCTCTGATGAACCTCCAGCTTATTTCCCTCAGTGCTGTTGCCCCCTTCGTCATCGCCACCGGCCAGGGCCAGGAGAGGCCTGAGGAACAGCAACAGGATCAAGAACTCGCTCCACCAGCGGGCCATGTTGGGGAACTGATACAGGTGGAACGAGCTGGCAGAAGGTTCGACTGAGAGAAAAGGGGAGTGTCGGAAAATCCGACACCATTTAATAATATACAGACAGATAATAAGTGCTGCTGTATTACCAACAAGTTACCCATAGAAAACGTAACTTGTAGTGGAATTACCGTCTATAGAAAACGGGATATCATCACCACATACTATTATAATTCACCAGCTATTCTGCTGGGAATTATTCTTAAATACATTAGTCTTTGGACTTTACCATCATAAAAACATCTTATATAAATTAACTTAATTATCAATATTAAAGTAGAGTAAATGTGACCCTTCTATCACTTTCTGAAATGTGGACAATGTAAGCCAGGCGTCAGAGTGAGGAGGAGGGCAGCCATTGTTGTTATATTGAGACCAGAGGCTCACACGGGAGCAAATTCGGCTCCTGTTAAATTTACTTGGACGTAGTGTTATGGAACCCAAAGGTGTACCATTGTCAACACGCTGTCTACAAATTCAAGTTAAGTGTCTATCCGAAACCCGTTTATCATTCATTTATGGCCATTAATGTCAGGATATAGGGTTAGCCGGTTAGAACGCGAAATCGCCTCATACTAAAGGTAATTAAGCCAGGTCTTTAATGTTCCATGTACTGTATAGTGTTTTCTCTGATATAGCTTGTCATATATAGGATTCTGGCTTCACAGCTAGCGCACTTTTGACAGGTCAAGACGAGGATGCAAGATTATGTGCACCAGTTACTGGGTGATAGAAGCTACCTCAAAGAGGATAATTTGGTGTCTACACTCTAGTTATACCTGGTGGACTAACCTGCTGTACTATAAGATAAGGAACCTCTTCAATGTATGTAGTTACTGTAGTTTGATTGGCTGCATACATATAAATATAAACCCCCCCTAATGTGTAGAGGATCGATTTGTGAGATTATGAGATTATTGCAGAAATACAGTCCACTTATCATTATACAAATTGCTATCGAAGTATATAAATTAACGTAAATATAAATTCATATAAATTAAATAAATATAAATCTCACAGGTCGGTTCCCACATTATTTGGACCTTCGGAACCGGATTATTTGGTCATCTTCGAACCGGATGACGGATTATTTGATCCTTTGAACCCACATTTGGTCATCTTAGTACCGGATGAACCAGTTAACCAGTGGATTCATTAAATATACTAGTGCAGTGTTATTTAAACAAAGCCAGCCAGTCAAGACAGCGGCGTTGCCTCGTGGGAGCTCAGGAGCCTCCCTCAGCCCAGTTCAGCTTCGTCAGCGGTTTCATGCACACCCACAGATATTTGGTGGCGTGTTATTTCGTGAAATGACAGCGCTAATATAGAAGCCAGCCAAATTAGTGACTGTGTCTTCGCGAGATTGTTCACGGATTTCGTGGTGTTACATTTCGCGAGAGATTATCTACGAATTTTGTGGACTTTATTTCGCGAGGTCACTAATAATATTTAATACTTCTAGATAATATTAGAAGTTTCATAGAGGCTAATTAAGAGGCTATTATCAATAATTGTGTATATTATTTCTCCAAAATAGAGAATTATTTAATATATATTGCACTAGTGATCACAGTATAATATTTACTAATTGCCAACCCACAACAGGGTAGGATATTACCACTGACTAGTTGAACTATTATCGTTCATCCTAGTCCCATTATTACCATAGTCAGTTGTACTATATTGAACAACCTAACACCATTAATGAATGGTCCAGACCCTATTTTGGGTGTAATTTTTATCAACTCGAGTTGAGTTGTATATATAATAATTTACTTATGATCATTACACCTTTGAGTGATTAATTAGTGTCTATTCCATCCTAGGGTGATATAGAAGAGCTAACCTAAAGGTACTTCCAGTGACACTGGTTTATCACTCAAATCATTAGTGTGGATGATTGTATATATATAATGTGTATTAATTTTAAGTGCTAACCTCTAGTAGAGGTAGGATTATTGCCTAGTGAGTTCAGAATTTACCCTAGGCTACCATTAGTGTTTGTTCAGTATTATGAGCAGCCCAAGTACAAGTCCCACAAGGCTTCACCAACTAGCCAGTATGGATAATGCAGGGAGAATGAAAAGAACCCTTGCAGGTCTTAAAGGCCACTTAACAAGACAGATCAAGAAATGTGAAGATTTGTCACAACAATCTCAAGTTGATTATGCTGACCTGGAAAGCTATTATCAAGCAGCTGCAGGTAAATTTGAGCAAATCAAATGCCAAATGGCTGTCCTTGTGGGGACAGACTACTACCATCAATTCATCGGTAGCCCTACTAAATATCAGGGCATAACCATGTTAAAGTCTGCAGGAGGTAAATTACTCTCAGGCCCAGTATCAAGCCTGAGGAGACCTATGCCTGCAGATAAACAATACCAGTAGAAATCTAAATTTGTCAGCTGATTATATTTCTCCAGTAGCATTATACTAAGGAGATTACAGCTGACTATAGTAACAGAGGTTGATGTTAGTATCATCATTTAAAGCTGAAGATGAGTTCATGAGGCCTCAGTGGCAAATCAGTGAACAGTAGCCTAAAACAGCTACAAGTCACTGCGACCAATGTCACTGAACCCACTGCAGTCTCAGAACCATACTTTACTTTAATGATGAGCTATTCAATCTTCTGAATCAATTAACTAAATTAAACCCCAATAAATCTGATGACTGATTTGATACATTTATTATTTAATCAAGATGTATTCCATGGGCCTCAGTGTTTATATATCAGTGACCAGTTACCTGAAGAAACTTCAAGTTATATCTAATGTCACTGATCTCACTGCAGTCCCTGAATCATACTTGACTGTAGTACTTGATCACATCCAGTCTTCTGGGTTAAATAATATGTAATAAGGCTTGAATATTAGCCTTTCAAGAGTTGACAGGGAAATGAAATCGCATTAGACTTCTAACCCCTGCAACTCTAGTACGGGACATCCGTCCTGTACGAACAGACACACAAATGTGTGATTACTAACTTCTAACATCAAATTAATGTAATAATTCGAAGGAGGAGTATCGGTGTTCGTCTGTTCTAAACAGGACTTCGACCCGTGAGCAGCCCCCTGGGGAATTATGTCGGAAAATCCGACACCATTTAATAATATACAGACAGATAATAAGTGCTGCTGTATTACCAACAAGTTACCCATAGAAAACGTAACTTGTAGTGGAATTTCCGTCTAAAGAAAACGGGATATCATCACCACATACTATTATAATTCACCAGCTATTCTGCTGGGAATTATTCTTAAATACATTAGTCTTTGGACTTTACCATCATAAAACCATCTTATATAAATTAACTTAATTATCAATATTAAAGTAGAGTAAATGTGACCCTTCTATCACTTTCTGAAATGTGGACAATGTAAGCCAGGCGTCAGAGTGAGGAGGAGGGCAGCCATTGTTGTTATATTGAGACCAGAGGCTCACACGGGAGCAAATTCGGCTCCTGTTAAATTTACTTGGACGTAGTGTTATGGAACCCAAAGGTGTACCATTGTCAACACGCTGTCTACAAATTCAAGTTAAGTGTCTATCCGAAACCCGTTTATCATTCATTTATGGCCATTAATGTCAGGATATAGGGTTAGCCGGTTAGAACGCGAAATCGCCTCATACTAAAGGTAATTAAGCCAGGTCTTTAATGTTCCATGTACTGTATAGTGTTTTCTCTGATATAGCTTGTCATATATAGGATTCTGGCTTCACAGCTAGCGCACTTTTGACAGGTCAAGACGAGGATGCAAGATTATGTGCACCAGTTACTGGGTGATAGAAGCTACCTCAAAGAGGATAATTTGGTGTCTACACTCTAGTTATACCTGGTGGACTAACCTGCTGTACTATAAGAGAAGGAACCTCTTCAATGTATGTAGTTACTGTAGTTTGATTGGCTGCATACATATAAATATAAACCCCCCTAATGTGTAGAGGATCGATTTGTGAGATTATGAGATTATTGCAGAAATACAGTCCACTTATCATTATACAAATTGCTATCGAAGTATATAAATTAACGTATATATAAATTCATATAAATTAAATAAATATAAATCTCACAGGTCGGTTCCCACATCGTGATATACACACACACACACACACACATACATATATATATATATATATATATATATATATATATATATATATATATATATATATATATATATATATATATATATATATATTGATGCTTCTATATTGGAGCGGAGTCTTGAAGTGGGTAGAATATAGTTGTGCATTAATTGGTTGTTGATTGCTGGTGTTGACTTCTTGATGAGTAGTGCCTCGCAGACGTCAAGCCGTCTGCTATCGCTGTATCTATCGATGATTTCTGTGTTGTTTGCTAAGATTTCTCTGGTGATGGTTTGTTTGTGGGAAGAGATTATATGTTCCTTAATGGAGCCCTGTTGCTTATGCATCGTTAAACGCCTGGAAAGAGATGTTGTTGTCTTGCCTATATACTGGGTTTTTTGAGGCTTACAGTCCCCAAGAGGGCATTTGAAGGCATAGACGACGTTGGTCTCTCTCTCTCTCTCTCTCTCTCTCTCTCTCTCTCTCTCTCTCTCTCTCTCTCTCTCTCTCTCTCTCTCTCTCTCTCTCTCTCTCTCTCGGCTCTCTCTCTCTCTCTCTCTCTCCCTCTCTACTCCCCCTCTCTCCTCTCTCTCCCTCTCTCTCTCTCTCCTCCCCCCCTCTCTCTCTCTCTCTCTTTCTCTTTCTCTCTCTCTCTCTCTCTCTCTCTCTCTCTCTCTCTCTCTCTCTCTCTCTCTCTCTCTCTCGATCTCTCTCTCTCTCTCTCTCTCTCTCTCTCTCTCTCTCTCTCTCTCTCTCTCTCTCTCTCTCTCTCTCTCTCTCTCTCTCTCTCTCTCTCTCTCTCTCTCTCTCTCTCTCTCTCTCTCTCTCTCTCTCTCTCTCTCCTCTCATCTCTCTCTCTCTCTCTCTCTCTCTCTCTCTCTCTCTCTCTCTCTCTCTCTCTCTCTCTCTCTCTCTCTCTCTCTCTCTCTCTCTCTCTCTCTCTCTCTCTCTCTCTCTCTCTCTCTCTCTCTCTCTCTCTCTCCTCTCCCTTCATATATATATATATATATATATATATATATATATATATATATATATATATATATATATATATTATATATATATATATATATATATATATATAATATATATATATATAATGATTATGTCACTACAGATTTGGGTGTTTAAGTGGTAAAGCCTCACAAAAGCAACTAATACGCAAAGCATCAATGACTTAAAATCAGATTTAAAACTTTATTCTCAACCACATATACAAACCATTACAATAAAATCTGGGTGTACAGCAATCTACATCTAGCTTACAGTTTTTGGCATAAAGTTATTGACATTTTGGAGGAAAGTCTTTAGGAAAACACAAAATTTGCAATGAATGAAAAAACACTCAATCACAAATCGAGGAAAAATAACCCGTCATAAAGTCTACAATAAATAACATCTTTCCCCCCTCGAATCGCGTTAAATATTGATAATCATTAACACAAAACATGTATATAAAAACCTTTGGATGCTGTGATATCACCTTTTCAAATTACACATACCGGTGGACGCGATATCCACACTATAACAGCATTATAATAGTTCTATAAGAAGTGGTATGATGACAATGTTAGAAGCATAAGGGCCATTGATTCCCGGAACCCTTTCACTAGGTAGACACAAGGTAGGAAGGTCATATTCATTGTAGCTACTATATATCAAAATATACCCGTAAAAAAATATTATTTGGACTAATAATTAAACTTTTTTAAACTGGAACATCAAAAATTCACACTTCAAAATTCTGTGGCACTTCTCGCATGATCACTTTATGTTTCACTCATCTTTAATCATTCTAAATCACTGTAAGCACCACACCCTTGCCGCAACACTGTAACAATGATACCATAAGGATTCATCACTATCGCGTCTCTGCACCATATCAACTCATCTGGTTGCAACAACACTATATAATGCCAATTGGTAGAAGCGTCACTGTGTCTGACCACGTGGGAGAATAGTATATTGGGGGTCCCTCCTGCTGGCTACAGGAGGGACTTGGGGTGTAAATAGGATCCCTTCTGCTGGATGTCGAAATAGGGTCCCTTCTGCTACCAGTGTAAATAGGATCCCTTCTGCTGCATGTGTAAATAGGGTCCCTTCTGCTGCCCACCCACACCGCACGGGCTGCGTCTGTGGTGGACCTACTCGTCAGTGAACCAGTAGTCGTAGATGTAGAGGAGGAGGTCGAGGGGATGGACCAGGCAGTGGAACTTGTAGTGACAGTCAGCGCTCTCCTCCCCGTACTTCGCTGCCTTCTGGAACTCTGTCAGCTCCTCTTCAGGTGTGTCGGGCGTGTACCTGGGGGAGAGAAAGAGGAGTCAGCAATAGAAACGTCTCAAACCTTGACTTTCTTTGATTCAGTTAACTCTTAGACATCAAAGAAGGGGCCATAATCAGCTGTATTTAGTGTAAAAGAGGTGGGTTCTGAACCTGTGGCATATAGATCCCTTGCACGGGAATTAACGCCTCCCCCGTCCTAACATTTCAGTGGTAGGGTCAACCGACGCTGGCTCCGTATTAAGACAATAGCGTCAGATGTGTGTGATGTCTAGCATGAGTGTGTTTATAGAAAATGTTCTCTGGAAGCGTTTGGTTTGCTTACCAGAAAGTTTTCGCTAGAAGCATTTGGTGTGCTTACAAGAAAGTGTTTGGTGGAAGCATTTGGTGTGCTTACAAGAAAGTGTTCGCTGGAGGCGTTTGTTTTACTTACACGAAAGTGTTCGCTGAAAGCGTTTGTTGTGCTTATAAGAAAGTGTTTGCTGGAAGCATTTGGTGTGCTTACAAGAAAGTGTTTGCTGGGTGCGTTTGTTGTGTTTACAAAAGGTGTTTGTGGTGGCTTCCTGTCCTCGTCGAGGCCACCAATGTTAGTGGCTCTCAGGTAAACAAATGTTATCCCTTAAAAACGTCTGTATCAAGGAAGAATTAGTCATACCAGCGGTGACTAAAGTATTTGAGGTGAGTTGGCATTTGTTTTTTTTAATTTTTGTATTGTAATTTATATATACAATAGTTTTTACATTCTCGTACAGCCACTAGCATGTCCGGGAGGTTCTTAATTCTATTTTTTCCCTGGAATACGACCAGCCAAATCGTTTAACAACCATAGGCACCCATTCACTACTGGGTGAACAGAGGCAACAGTTCAGGATTGGCGCCCGGTCTATCCTCCCCGGCCAGGATACGAACCCAGGCCAAAGCGCTTGCGAAGCACCGGGCGAGTACTTTACCAGTGCGCCACAGCGACTACAAAGTGGTCGCCACTAACGATCAACTAGCCACACAGTTCTGGAGGAGTAATGTTAGGTAAAGCGAATAGGTTAGATAAGGTTAGGCAAGGTAGTTAGGTTAGGTAATCTAAGATGAGGTCTGATAAAGACCTTTTGTGCCCTCTGTAATGCTTTTTGCGCTACCGCTCACATGATGAGTATTGGGTACACAATAAACTTTTGGCAACAATTAAAATCAGGTTAGGTTAAATTGGCAAATTTAACTTTGAGGTCGATAGCGTAACAATTGTTGTGCATTAAGTAACAGGTTGTTATGGTTACCATACAAATCTCCCAGTATCTTCTTTCAGATTTCCCACTCAGAAATGTAACTGTTTTGCATGACTAGAAACGCAGAAACTAGCAACCCATCTATCGAAGATGAGGCATAGAAAACGTCAATGTCAGAATGCTTAGAGTACAGTACAGAGTACAGTACAGAGTACTTTGTACAGAGTACTTTGTACAGAGTACTTTGTACAGAGTACAGTACAGAGTACTTTGTACAGAGTACAGTACAGAGTACTTTGTACAGAGTACAAAACATTCGCATTTTTAACGGATTGGTTGATTCCGTAATAAATACGACGTACGTTGGGTGTGAGGACAGGTCGTAGAGCCACGAGAGTGGGATTCATGAATATGATAAAGAGAACGTTTTTCATAACGTTTTGAAACTTTATGAGAATTTCCTGCCCACCTAACCTATCAGAGGACCCTTAACTTACTGTTGTTGAAAAAAAAAATCCCAAATTTATTTTCATATTTTTTTTATTTTCAAATTACGTCCAAATTCGGCCATACGGGCAAACGGCCAAAAGCGACGTTCTTTTTAAGAGGACAGGTTGGATAAATCAGCACTTACGCCACAAGGAATCTGAGAGCCGAGGCCAGGAAACCATAGTCTTGTGGATCAGCATACGCCTTACAGACGGCTTGCTTGGCGCAACTCCTGCAGTTGAGCACTTCCGGAAGGTTCCAGACCGTCTCCAGCACCAGCCTAACTAACTGGAGCTCCTGAAGCGCATCTCCATCAGTGTTCTCCCTGCCGGCGGCCCCCGGGGCGGTGGTGTAGAGGCTGAACACAAAGCCCCCCAACAGGAAGAATATAATGTAGCCCAGGGCGCTGTAGGAGCTTGTGGTGGCCCCTGTGGTGGAGAAGTCGCCCGCGCCGGGCAGGGTGAAAGAGAGCAGGGGCATGGTCACCGGGACCGTGGTGTTGAAGGAGTAGGTGTGGTCGTAGTTCAGGAAAAACCTGCCCATTTCGCCCTTAGGCGACATCGCTAATAGCGACTGGATGGTGTCGTCCATGCTGCTTGCGGCCGTCGTCGCCACCGCGACTATCGCGACTACAGCAACTAGAGGTCTCGCCATCACATCTGTAACACAATGTAGGAATTTTTAATTTATTACACATCATCACGCCTCATCACGGCACGCAACAGAGCTTATACCATCACGCCCTCAACACTATTCTATAGCAATATTCTTTAATGAATACATTTTGTTTCAAAAGACTTTGATGTGCATTGCTTGACTGGAGAGAGGCAGTTATCACACACACACACACACACACACACACACACACACACACACACACACACACACACACACACACACACACACACACACACACACACACACACACATATCTCTCCTCGTAGCTCATACCTCTCAGCTTGGGTACTAGTCTGGTTCAAAGGTTTGCCACCAGACTAGTACCCGAGCTGAGAGGTATGAGCTACGAGGAGAGACTACGGGAATTAAACCTCACTTCGCTGGAAGACAGAAGAGTTAGGGGGGACATGATCACCACATTCAAGATTCTGAAGGGGATTGATAGGGTAGATAAGACAGTCTATTTAACACAAGGGGAACACGCACAAGGGGACACAGGTGGAAACTGAGTGCCCAAATGAGCCACAGAGATATTAGAAGGAACTTTTTTAGTGTCAGAGTGGTTGACAAATGGAATGCATTAGGGGGTGATGTGGTGGAGGCTGACTCAATACACAGTTTCAAGTGTAGATATGATAGAGCCCGATAGGCTCAGGAATCTGTACACCTGTTGATTGACGGTTGAGAGGCGGGACCAAAGAGCCAGAGCTCAACCCCCGCAAACACAACTAGGTGAGTACACACACGCACACACACGACACGGGACACACACGGGACGCGAACAAGGGGACACAGGTGGAAACTTAGTACCCAGATGAGCCACAGAGACGTTAGAAAGAATTTTTTCAGTGTCAGAGTAGTTAATAAATGGAATGCATTAGGAAGTGATGTGGTGGAGGCTGACTCCATACACAGTTTCAAATGTAGATATAATACAGCCCAGTAGGCTCAGGAACCTGTACACCAGTTGATTGACAGTTGAGAGGCGGGACCAAAGAGCCAGAGCTCAACCCCCGCAAGCACAAATAGATGAGTACACACACAGAGGCACGTGGCCTCCGTGTCAAAGACCCACTCACAGCTGTACCGTAATAGCAGGGAGATACAGACTGTATTATGTACCCAGAGCCACCATAACGCTCGCTCCCGTGAATATTAAGCCCTCATCTCTCCACGTTGCATGGTGGCGCCTGAGGCCAGGATCATCTCCCTCAAGAAGGGATATGAGATAGACTAAGTGCTTGGAAAGGTGCGGTAATAATCAGGAGAAATTGCTTAGCTTAGCTTGGCCATGCAGTATGACTTTAATGCTCTAGGAAGGGATATGAGGACAAGGAGCTGTGATGAGTGGACAGCGCTTCGGATTCGTAGTCTTGAGGTTCTGGGTTCGATCCCCCGGTGGAGGCGGAAACAAATAGGCAAAATGTTTCTTTCACTCTGATGCCCCTGTCACCTAGCAGTAAATAGGTACCTTGGAGTTAGACAGCTGCTACGGGCTGCTTCCTGGGGGGGGGGGGGTAAGAAAAAGGAGGCCTGGTCGAGGACTGGGCCGCGGGGACACTAAGCCCCGAAATCATCTCAAGATAACCTCAAGGTAATCTCCCTCAGCAGAGATATGAGGACAAGAAGCTGGGATATTAGGACAAGGAGTTGGGATATGAGGACAAGGAACCGGGATAGGACAGTAGCAAAGGATGGTTCTTATAACCACTTGGACCATCGGGGATCGAACGCGGACCTGCAAGAAGCACGGTTAAAGTTCTGTTCCTATACTTCAAACCTTGTTCATCTCCTCCATATTCACGGGTAATATATTTTTGGAAGCTTGCAGGAAATGTAGAATATTTTAAGTGTTTGAGAGAGTTAGTTCAGGTTAATAGTTTTGTGCTACGTTGAATGATTCGAGTGAATTACGTGAATTTGAGTGAATTACGAACTGTGACATCACGACCCATGATATCACGAACTGTGACGTCACGACTTATGATGTCACGAACTGTGACGTAGTCTCGCTGAACCTATAACCTCACGAATGCTTACCTGTGTATTCAAGAGTGAGTCTGGTACAGGTGAGTCTAGATACACGAAAGAACACTCATCACTAAATCCTAGTGCACACTGATGGAGAGTATTCAACCCTACCCACGATCCTTTCCTGAGACGGGGGGGGGGCCTTGACCCCTCTCCGTGGGAGGGGGGACAATGGCCCCCAACCAATCCCTACCCACATCCCATCCCATTGGTATCTCAACTCTCCGATTCTTCTCATGAAACCCCGCCTACTGGTGATGACGTCACGTTCACGTCTACCAATCGCTAGCCAGCCTCCTTCAGGAAGCTGGCTGACGTCACGTTCATGCTCACCAATCACAGCTCAGCATGCCTTTGCTAGTAGCCCCGCCCAAGCGTTTTGACGTTAGCATAAGCTAACGTTCAGACTGATCCGTCTGCATTGTTCAATCCAGTAAAACCTGTTGAAGCTTCTGTCCAATACAGGAAACTTGTGTGACTATGTATAGTTATACTGATACATGTGTCACTGTACGTATGGGTATACTGAGACATGTATCACTGTGTGTACGCGTTATTCTGATACATGTATCACTATATGTATGGTTATACAGATTCTCAAGATTTATTTTTAGTTATTTTATCTATTTATATGTTTATTATTTTATAAATTAAGCGAAGTGGGAAGAAATAAAAGTATTCACTTGAGACTTTATTTTTATTTTCAAAAGACTTGAAAGATTCTGTTGTTGATAACAGAATATATATTGTAAATAAATATAAAAACATCAAATAAGTAACATTTCGAAACACGTGAAAAATGGTAATGTATTTGTTTATTGTTTATTAACAAATTGTCAAAACAGGTGTTAAATTTGATATTCTCTTACTGAGGCAACCTGTGATTGCTGGCCAATGGAAAGTGAGTATAATGATTCTTTATGCAATTTTAGCTAATTGAATAAGGTTTTTTAAAGGATAATAATATAAATATAAATATTTATATATCTTCTATTTTTATACATACTGTATTGAATGTTGGTTTTCTAGTTACTAGAATTGATGCATTAATTGACTGACCAAGCTTTTCTAGCAGTGACCAAGAGGGGTGACTCGTTTATTGGTAAAGAATTGAATTTGGGTTCTGATGTCTTTTTTCCGCAGAGATAAATGCTTCCTAAACTCATTGGTGTTCAAGAACTAATCACGTCATTCATTGTTTATTGTGTAAGTCATTCACTATCTCTCATCCATTCACACAATCACGGAAACACAGACACACACACACACACACACGCATCATTGGTTCAAATACAGCATAAGAAAAATATACATTAGATAAAATGAACATAGTGGAAAACAGCCCATCCTCATGTTTCAATAGTACTTATAGTAACGATGAGGACCATAGTATATACCGACGTACAACACAATTAGAAAGTAGAAATCCGTACTATTGAATTTGGACAAATCGTGAAAAAGATTTCAACTTATGTTGCAAAGACAAACTGAACTAACCTAACCTTTCTAGGCCTAATACACGATATCTGAGGCCCAATATAGCACATATGTATGCTATACTAGGCCTAGGAGTATTTAAGTCTGTTTTTTAGCTTAATTTTTTCGGACTGTATATATGAATAGACCGAATTCTACTATCTAATTACTCAGTACGTCAAACTTTGTACTATGGTATACATAGGTACTAAAACTAACTACTATCTAAACAGGAGAATGGATGGTATAACATGTATGTGGAATAAAATATACATGCGATAAATACAGCATAATGTATAAAATATACATGGGATAAATACAGCATAATATATAATACATGGGATAAAATACAACATAAGATAAAATATACATGGTAGAATATATATATATATATATATATATATATATATATATATATAAAGATTAAACAGGATGAAATATACATGGAATAAAATACAACAGCAGATTAAATATATAGCATAAAATGCAGCATTTCATAATACATCCTTATGATAAAATACAAAGATGACAAATATATATGTGATAAAATACAACATACAAATACACAAAATCAGAGAATACATACAAATCATACATATACATAACTACCGTCTTTGTCATGACAAGTATTTTTAAGTATGACTATACAACCAGACTGGCCTATACTGCTCCCTTTTATATAAGCGAAATTTTGAGGTATATTGAAACATTTTGAAAATGTTATAGTCAATAAAACATGAAATGAAAGTAGTGAAGAAGGAAGAGTAGAGGAGGAATAAACAGGAATAGGCGTGGATGAAGAAGTAGGGGAGTGGTATATTAAGAAACAGCAATAGGTGAAGAAAGTGTAATGTGTATATATATATATATATATATATATATATATATATATATATATATATATATATATATATATATATATATATATATATATATATGTCGTACCTAGTAGCCAGAACTCACTTCTCGGCCTACTATTCAAGGCCCGATTTGCCTAATAAGCCAAGTTTTCCTGAATTAATATATTTTCTCTATTTTTTTCTTATGAAATGATAAAGCTACCCATTTCATTATGTATGAGGTCAATTTTTTTTTATTGGAGTTAAAATTAACGTAGATATATGACCGAACCTAACCAACCCTACCTAACCTAACCTAACCTATCTTTATAGGTTAGGTTGGGTTAGGTAGCCGAAAAGTTAGGTTAGGTTAGGTTAGGTAGGTTAGATAGTCGAAAAACAATTAATTCATGAAAACTTAGCTTATTAGGCAAATCGGGCCTTGCATAGTAGGCTGAGAAGTGAGTTCTGGCTACTAGGTACGACATATATATATATATATATATATATATATATATATATATATATATATATATATATATATATATATATATATATATATATTAGTATATTTTGGTAGCAGTCTTTCCTGTAGACATATATTATTAAATATGACCGAAAAAGTAAGATTAATAAATCTAACACGAATTTTCTCAATCTTTCGTACATTACGCTTCACTGTTGGAGGTAAATCAAAAATCACTTCTCCAAAATTCATTTTTATTTCTAGTCTGACGCGACACGGGCGCGTTTCGTAAAACTTATTACATTTTCAAAGACTTCACAAATACACAACTGATTAGAACTTGCGTTTCTCTGATTTTATATCTACATTTGAGTGAGGTGGGAAGGGTGATGTGGCATTAACACAAGACAGAACAATAGGGGATATTAATAGGGTATTAAAAGTATCAACACAAGACAGAACAGAAACAATGGGTATTGAATAGAAGTGTTTGTAGAAAGCCTATTGGTCCATATTTCTTGATGCTTCTATATTGGAGCGGAGTCTTGAGGTGGGTAGAATATAGTTGTGCAATAATTGGCTGTTGATTGCTGGTGTTGACTTCTTGATGTGTAGTGCCTCGCAAACGTCAAGCCGCCTGCTATCGCTGTATCTATCGATGATTTCTGTGTTGTTTACTAGGATTTCTCTGGCGATGGTTTGGATATGGGAAGAGATTATATGTTCCTTAATGGAGCCCTGTTGCTTATGCATCGTTAAACGCCTAGAAAGAGATGTTGTTGTCTTGCCTATATACTGGGTTTTTTGGAGCTTACAGTCCCCAAGTCCCCAAGTTAAAAGAGATTAACGTCGTCTATGCCTTCAAATGCCCACTTGGGGACTGTAAGCTCCAAAAAACCCAGTATATAGGCAAGACAACAACATCTCTTTCTAGGCGTTTAACGATGCATAAGCAACAGGGCTCCATTAAGGAACATATAATCTCTTCCCATAACCAAACCATCGCCAGAGAAATCCTAGTAAACAACACAGAAATCATCGATAGATACAGCGATAGCAGGCGGCTTGACGTTTGCGAGGCACTACACATCAAGAAGTCAACACCAGCAATCAACAGCCAATTATTGCACAACTATATTCTACCCACCTCAAGACTCCGCTCCAATATAGAAGCATCAAGAAATATGGACCAATAGGCTTTCTACAAACACTTCTATTCAATACCCATTGTTTCTGTTCTGTCTTGTGTTGATACTTTTAATACCCTATTAATATCCCCTATTGTTCTGTCTTGTGTTAATGCCACATCACCCTTCCCACCTCACTCAAATGTAGATATAAAATCAGAGAAACGCAAGTTCTAATCAGTTGTGTATTTGTGAAGTCTTTGAAAATGTAATAAGTTTTACGAAACGCGCCCGTGTCGCGTCAGACTAGAAATAAAAATGAATTTTGGAGAAGTGATTTTTGATTTACCTCCAACAGTGAAGCGTAATGTACGAAAGAT